GACTTCATAGACTTATCAGTCAAACACAGAGTCTGGAGTTTGCTCTGTTCCTGATGTCAACAATAATAAAAGTATATTCTGAAACATTTAGGGAAAAATTGGGTATTGGGGGGCTGGGTATTAAAAACATTCAACTTAAACATGTATTTGTGCAGGTCTCCACTTAAGAAAAAGTATAGTGGGCAGGGCCTGTGGTTCAGTGGGTAGAGCACTGGCCCCATATACCGAGGGTGGCAGGTTCAAACCCAGCCCCAGCCAAACTGCAACAAAAAGTAGCCAGGCTTTGTGGTGGGGACCTGTAGTCCCAGCTACTGGGAGGCTGAGGCAAGAGAATTAAGCCCAGGAGCTGGAGGTTGCTATGAGCTGTGACACCACAGTACTCTACTGAGGGCGACAAAGTGAGACTCTCTCTCTACAAAAAAAAAAAAAAAGCATACTAAAACCACTACACATTTATTTTCAATAATAAATTAAGCTTATTCCATACATTTACATAAGGAGAGCCGTTTTACATATGAGAAAAACAGAGGTACGCAGACAACCATCAGTCAGCAATTACTGAGCGCCGGCCAGGCACCAGTATGCTGAGGACTTTAGTCCAAAGGCCACACACCATCCTCCCCACCCTGCCAGGACACTGTCAGAATCTAAGCACCAACACATTTGTTTCTAAAATGGGCTTGGTGTCATATGGGTCAAAATTTGATCACCTCAGGAGAATGTTTTGCCCCCCGATCTTGTTTTCCACAACAGTTGTGTTGGGGGATGTAAATCAGGGGAGTTCTCCTACTGTGGTATTAAACTAAACTGAGGACAATCTACTATTTAAAAATTTTGCATGAAACCTATCAGTAAGACTTTGGGGTCAAAAGGCAGGACCAGGCATGGTGTGGTGGCTCATGCCTATAAATCCCAGCACGTTGTGAGATGCGAGGATGGCTGAGTCCAGGAGTTTGAGACCAGCCTGAGCAAGAGCAAGACCCCATCTCTAAAAACTGCCAGGCACTGTGGTGGACACCTGTAGTCCCAACTACTTGGGAGACTGAGGCAGGAGGATCACTTGAGCCCAGGAGTTTGAGGTTGCTGTGAGCTATGATATGATACCATGGCACTCTAGCTGGGGTGACACAGGGAGACTTGGTCTCAAAAAAAATAAAAATAAAAACAAAAGTTAGCTGCATCTGAGAGTGATTGGGATGGGATGATATCATTATAATTGTTCCCTGTCCTTACACAAGAATAAAAAACAGCACTTTCACTCTGCAGCTGGGACAGGGTTTTTGAGATGACCTCATGACTTTATGAGCAGAAAAAGGGAGTCAGTCCCTTCCAGACACCAGGTAACATGCTGAGTGCTTCATTAACATAATCCCATTCAGTCCTCACCAAGCCTATGAGTTAGGCAGTGTTCTCCTCAGTGTCACATGGGAAAGGAAGCCTAGCTAGGAATAACATTCCCAAGGCCATTGGTGGGGTATAGGCAGGGTACAGGCCGGGGACTTTCCTAAAGCTTGGACTCTCCCAAGACACTGCATTGTTTCCAAAGCCGGGCCCTCAGCATAACAGTGTTTCCCGCTGGGCACAGCATCTCTCTAGCAGGTAGGCTGTGACTCCTACCCAGGAACAGGCATCATCCTTGCACAGAATCTATTACGTAACAGGCATGTTAAAATACCTGATAAACCTTGTGTGCCCTTGTCAAAGTTGTGCAACAGCAGGCATCCCTCCCTGCTCTATGAGAACTTCATCCCTTGCTTCTTAAAGTGTAGGGATTCAGGAAACAAGCCCCAAGTCTGACCGTAATTATTCTTTGTTTCCCAAACTATGAGAGCATGAGAAGTCTACAGCTTTTCCTTCTGTCTCTCTCTCTCTTTTTTTTTTTTTGGTTAGACAATGAATCATTGAGAAGGGATGAGAATAAAAGCTGGGCCTGGTAACTATTAGGCAACTGTTGTCTCCTGGCATCTATTAAGTGCTAGTACCTTACGTGGCATTTTGTTTAATCCTCACAACTTTCAATATCCTCATTTTATAAACAACAAAGCCAAGCACAGAGAGTTTGTTTAGGTCACAAGTCCCACAAGTGAGAGAGCTCCGATTTAATTCCAGGACTGCATGCCAGAGCTGTAAGGAACTGTACTGCTCAGATCCCACAGCTGGGGTCAGCGAAGGACTGAATTGAGGCACAGAAAGCAGAGGAGAGGTATTGCCACCACCGATGCTCTACTACAAAACAGGCACACTGATGCAAAGCTCCTGCGCCCCTGGGCCAGGCCTCGGGGCTGTGCAGCCACAGTGCATGCTGGCACTGCAGAAGCTCTCCATTGCTACCTGGGAGCATACTTCTTAAAAGATAGTGTAGGGAAAGTGGGAAATGCATAGGGTACGGGCTCTGAGAAGACAAGCCCTAACTCTGACCATGAGCACACCAGGCAACAAAACTGAGTGAAGCAGAAACAAAAGCAGCCCGAGAACTGCTGTGATCCTTGGATTAAATGAGAGGTGAGAAGGCTGTTTACCAGCTCAGAGAAACTGCTGTGACCCTTGGATGAAGTCAGGTGAGAAGGCTGTTTACCAGCTCGTCTTCAGGGAGACAGATATGACAGTAGAAACCTAGTGGAATAGGACAAATTAATCCACGATATCTGCAGAGTGCAGGTCCCACAAAGACAATGGGGAATGTTTAAAGAGGGGTCACAAGACTAGAAAATAGGACTTAGCAGAAAAAACTGATAATCATTACCTGGAAGGAGGCATGACATCATTTAAAGACATAAATACTCAGAACAAAACCAGATGGGGAGGGATTGTGTGAATAAATTTGGAAAACTGCAACAAACTGGGGCTTCTCAGATGTGACGTGAAGAGGGTTCTCACAGGATGCTGACCACAGGCACGAAGCCCTAGAACAACTGCAGCTGACGCTGAGCCCGTGAGCATTTTGAGAATCTAAGGGAAACTGCTGTCTAGCACATTAAGCACACATTAAGTGACACGGAAAGCTTTGAAATGAATCTCTAAGCTGTTAACACTAATCTACTCAGGTGGATGCGAGACTCTCCTCTGCAGACCCAGACTCAATCATAATTACATATCTCAGAGCTCACTGGTTTATTGTTTGTCTATGAGTTCCATGATGGTAAAGAAGTGGCCTTTTGGTCATCACTATAGTTCAGGACCTACCACGGCCCCTGGAACATAATATTTGTTCAGTAAATATTTCTCAATAAGTAAGAGAACAGAATAATTCTGCATCCAGGGAAGGTTATTTTAGTCTTGCCCAAATCCCATGAATTTGGCCCCAAGTTTTCTCCTATTAGGTAAACAGTGTCCTTCCTCCATTATGTCTTCTAAACGTTTCCCAGTGGAAATTATGAATGGATACATGTTCAGTCCCACCTATCATGCCTCATCTAGAATTTTACAGCACTGATTTACTATATATAATGGTCTTCACTGTACTCTGGGGCAAAAATCTTTCTCAGGGATTTTTGTTTTAAAAACATTTAAAATAAAAATAGAGACACTGAGGTAAGGTCAAAAATCTTCCACAGAGCTGTAAGAGTGCAAACTGAAGAGTGATTCTAAGTAAGACTGCTGGTTAGCAAATTAAGCACGTATTAAATATTCAAAACCACATATAGGGAGAGCCACCCTACAGGATCAAATAATGACCTTTTATGGCACAGCCTGATCAGGTTTTCATTTAGATTAACAGAACAACTTTCACACACTCACTGTGTCATACTTATAAAACCTGGAGAGAGAATTAAAACATGAAACAAGTTTTGTCAATGGGGTTAAAAGAATTCATGCCCATGGCCTGCCACTGTCCTGTCAGTCACAGTGACCGGGTCAGCACTGACGCAGGACCTTAATGTCCCCCCAGGGCTGCAGGGGAGCTCACTGCTCTGTGACAGCTGGGCAAACTTTGCACCTTTACCAGACAGGATGCCCTAAAAGTCACGTCTGAAGTCACCATATGAAGAAAAAATGGGAAATTATAGCTAAGTGTAGCTGTAGTTACAAAATAATCAAAAAATTTTATAAAAAGGTGGCAAACATGTAGACATCATTTTGTAAAATTCTGTAATGGACATTTAAGTAAAGGTACATTTATCTAAAATTTCCCATCTTCCCTATGTATGGTAACTTTAAGGACACCCAGTATACAAACAACAAATAGTTTATTTTGAAGAGGCAAAGTTCATTTAAGAAACAATGATTTCTGTTAACAGCTTATCTTAATTCAGTGGTTCTCAACCTTCCTAATGCCTCAATGTATTTTCATTGTTACAAAGGTGTCATGACCCACAGGCTGAGAACCACTGCCTTAATTCATTCAGAATGCCTATGTTATATTTTGAAAATACATATCTAAATTTGCTTTTGTGAAAAATCAAGTAACAAAATCAAACAAAAATGACCTTATTCTATATATGCTAGCTTAATTTTCAAAAATAGAATCTTTTACAGAAGTTTTATTCCCTTTCAGTTTTAAAGATATTTTGCTGGAATCCTGAGTCTCTAACAGCCAAATTACTGAAATGTACTCTCAAGCTCTGAAAACTGCCATGATAATTTATACCCAAATGAAATGAAAACACAGAACTGACAGACACAGATGTCTTCCTACAGTTCAACCAGACGAAAGCTCTACTGACATAAGACTCAAAACTCAAAGTTCATGTTCTTTAACAGAGTAAACAAGACTTACACAACCAGTAAAAGTTTCTCAGTTCCTAACCTGTGCTTTAGCAAGTGCTATGAATTTTTAATCACAGCAGAACCTCCGTAGCTGACCAGTCCCTAAGCTGATGGGATTTTCACAGGCCAGGTGTGCCCCACAGGCACACAGGCCTCAGTCTTCATGGTGACCACCTCTGTGTTATGGTCCCTCGGGTGGCCAAGTTACAGAGGTTCTACTATATTTCTATTTTATTTTGTTCCTGTAAAACATTTTAACATAAGCATTAAACTTCTAGGATTATCACACTTACCTGTACGGCTTATCGGAATTGTGGACACGTCTGTGGTTCCTCACACCGACGTATGTTGTACTTGTGTAGTCACACACATCACATCTATACTGCTTCTGGACTGAGGACTTAGTCCCTAGGCAAAGAATTTCAGAGTTTTAGCAGCATGGTTTGGTAAGATTTAAATCACTGTTTTATATTCCATTATAAATGAACATCTATACCACACAGTAATATTAACATTTCAATCAAGACTCTGTTTAAATTTAACAAGTTTGGAGAGGTTTTACAGGTTCCCTGCGTGAGCAGGTACAAACTGAACATCATCTCTAACCTTTAAACCTAGAAAGTTTCGTTAACCAGAGAGATGCTACTGATTTGTATCAACAAACAGGTGTCACTTCAATCAATACTGGATATATTTTTTATTTTTTTAATATTATTTTTTTTGAGACAGAGCCTCAAGCTGTCACCCTGGGTCGAGTGCTGTGGCATCACAGCTCACAGCAACCTCCAACTCCTGGGCTCAAGCAAGTCTCCTGCCTCAGTCTCCCAAGTCGCTGGGACTACAGGCACTCGCCACACGCCCGGATATTTTTTTGGTTGCAGCCATCATTGTCGTTTGGCGGGCCCGGGCTGGATTTGAACCCACCAGCTCAGGTGTATGTGGCTGGCGCCTCAGCCATTTGAGCCACAGGTGCTGAGCCTATTCTTTTTATATTTTTATTTTTTCTTTTATTTATTTATTTATTTTGCAGTTTTTGGCCAGGGCTGGGTTAGAACCCACCACCTCCAGTATATGGGGCCGGCACCCTACTCCTTGAACCACAAGTACCACCCTTATATATTTTTAATTTTTATTTCAGGTTAATGTGAGGGTACAAACAACTAGGTTATAATATTTGCATTTGTTAGGTAGAGTCCCTCTTGTAGTTGTGTCTCACACTCAAAAGGTGTGCCATGTATCCCGACACTGTGCCGATGAAGTGGGAGTACCCCAATGCCCTGCCTCCTCCTGACTTGAATTGAGTTTTCTCTCCTGTGGGTGTGTATTAGTTCATCTACTGGCTTCATATTAGTGTTGAGTACATTGGATGCTTGGTTTTCCATTCTTGAGATACTTTACTAAGAACAATGTGTTTCAACTCCATTCAGTGGATATATTTTTTTAAAGAAATAGTGATTCACCAAATTAATACCATAATCCAATACTATAAGGTGTGGCTATGACACATATATAACAAACTCAATATGAAAAGCCTGCAGCTTGTAGGTTTTCTTTTGTTAACACTAAATGTCAGCCAACTGCAATGTGGAAGAAAAGGTACCTCAAATGATTAAGTGCTACATAGTGTAGTTTAAGTCTATCTAGTTAACTGACAGGTTATGGGGCAAAGGTTATGACTCTCATGAAAATGCAGGGAACATAGATCCAGTGTAAACAGGGCCATGTAACTGAACTTACTGGGTGACCCAAGCTGGATGACCTGACCATACAGAACTGTCCCCTGAAGACAGCCACTGCTTTCTTTACTCTCCACTGTGCGAGGTCCACAGGCTCCTCACACCCCGCCTGCTTTTCATCCAGGAAGAGGCAACCACGAAGCCCCAGGGCAGGCAGGGCAGGAGAAGCTGTGTCCCTGGCAGGAGGGAGCTTGGGTGCAACACCAGGACACAGTGCACAAAAGTAAAATTAATGGGACGAAAAAATCCATGCGGAAATTTCAACAGAGAAAATCCTTAAGCTAAATTTAAGCTTTCTAAAATCGAAGCTTTCTTTTGCTAATAACTACTGCCAGGCAGAACAAAAATGTCCTAATTTCCTGGTATAAATCTATAACATTAATATACACACTAATCATAATTATAATCTAAGTATTGCTCTTAATTGGTAGGTTAAAAACTTGGACTCGATTATAAATGGCACTGTTCCAAATACAGTTTTTAAAAAAATCCTGAAAAAATGAAGTGTGAAATATTGGATAATGGTTTTGTGTGAGAAATATTACAGATCAATGACAACTAATAAAACTGACAGATGGAAAAACTTAATATAGAACGGAATGAGAGCCCGTGCTACTTGAAGCAACTGTTTCCAGTGGGAAGAATATTGGATTTAAAGTTCAAAAACTTGGGCTTAGTCCTTGCTCTGCTCTTACTACCAGTATGATCTCGGGTAAATTACATTACCTCAGGGGTCTCAGCTATATCATCAACAAAATGGAAAGACTAGAACCTCATGCATGGTTTTGTAAATCCTATGTTTTTCCTTCACCAAAGTCTGTATATTACCTGCATGTCTGGGTAAAGTCTTTACTCTGTCACTAGGCTGTTGACTCCCTGAAGGCAAGGATGTACCTGTTTTATTTATACTGAACCCCCAGGGGTTGGCAAATTACAGGTTTCTAATGAAAACGATTTAATTACATTTTATAAAGAAAGACGCTATGAAAATGCTTTGCCTATGGCTCTGTTACAGCACCCTAGGTATTTGCTGTGGTACTTACCAGTCCAGTTCTGAGGTGGGCTCAAGGGCAATGATGCCCTTCATGTACTCCCAGTACCCAGCAAAGCAGCCCACTCAAGGCAGGCAAGTCACCTCTAATGGCCAAGGTCTTAAGTTCAAGTACAAGTTGAAAACATGCCCTCAGGTATCTGTGCTGTCATAATGGGAAGAAATGGGGACCAGGGAGGCACACATCTCCCATTTTGTTTAATAAGTTTACTAAGTGCTTAAAGAAGTTCTCGCAAGACATGAATTATTATCACCTTCTTTGTAAGCTAGAGATGTGCTCTAGCATTGAATTAATAAATTCCCACCCAGGTGTAAGTGTGAAGGAAGACAGGCACCTGAACTGTTGCAGTACTGTGACAGAAAAAAGCAAGTGGAGCCAAGTGGAGTGAGAAAAGGCACCACCAGCAATTTCAACTCCGTGCATCTAACCCTAAGGAAAAAGTATGATCCACAAAGAAAAGATGCTGGGAAACGGAACACGGTGAACAGATGCTAATGCTGTAAAGCCTGAAACGGTTTAATTCTGAGTTGACATCTTAATCTTTTTATTGAAATTGCCAATTTTAATCCATCGACTCATCTGGACAGTTGTAAATGTTGACATTTAAGATGGTGCTGACAAAGACACATCCTAACGCTGGTATTGACTGCAGGGGGCACTACTGAGCAGCACTCACTGGATTCCTTCATTAGGGACTTATGGTCCAATCGCATCAAATGTTGTAATGTCTCCTTTAAAGGGGATGTGGAAACATAATGAATTAAAATAAAAGGAGGCATTTAGGGCTATTTTGTGAAAAGGAAACAAAACTGTTTCAGCTCAGCCATCTATTGCAGAAACAGATGCTATGTCATAAACTCCTTTTGTTTGGATAGTTTTACAGGGATGACATCTGTTTGACAAGGGAATTTTGGTGCTACAGTGGTGTCAAAATCAGTTCTTTCAGAAACATTCTAGAATCAGTTATGCTTTCTGGGGTATAATTTAATGAAACATTATGGTAAAACATTTCACTCTGTAGTCGTTTCTAACTTTAATTCTTAGCAAATCTAAACAGGAAAGTCACCCCAATATGTTTTATTTCCTATAAACACTCTATGCTACACTCGAGCCATTTAAAGTATATCAATTTAAGTGAGCTGCAGCAAGGAAACACAGCTTAGTACACTTTATCCCCAATTCTCCGGATGTGGCATCCGCCTTTTCATGGAACTCTAATTAAATCTTTTGATTCTAATATTCCTATTACCAGAAACTCGGCTGACTGGTACCTAACTAGTACATAAAAAGATCTTGTGTTTTTTTAAAATAATGCAGATGAAATCTGGCAGTCATACTTGGGTAAGAATAAGATCACAGCAGGAAGCCTGAGTTAAAGTTTGAGGTGGGGGCCTACCATCTGCAAAGGCTCTGTGCTCAGCAGGTCAGCTGGTGGGGGGGGAGAGGCTCTCCACGGTGCAGTTCCTCCTGCTCGCTGGCACGGGGCCTCCCAAGGTCTGTGCCATAGCTGGGCTCTCACAGGGTAGCACACCTATCAGTGGTGATATCCGCCTACATGGCTGAGGCTGAGAACTTACTAATCTAGTACTTCTAACCTCCACCCTAGTAATAACTGACCTCATCCAGCACTTGGCACCTCCTCAGAAACAAGTAGGATTCACTCACATCCATCATATACAAATAGGGCAGAACACATACTCTAGTCCTGACGATAACCCACATGGCAATGAGTGTTTTTGCTTCATATGCTAGTCACTGCAGCCTGTATAAAAAATACACAGATACCTTCCTGAACACATTTCCCATCAGTTGTATCGCTGGCAACTCTTGGCTCGGTAGACGCTGCTACTGACAAGGTATCTGGAAGACTGTGTTGCTCCCTCTCATGATTCCTCAGTTGACTCTACAAAGTGGAGAGAAATTACCATGTAAGTTTCAGTAAATACACATGTCCAATTACTAGGAGGCTGCAGAAGGGGTTAATTGTTTTCATGGCCTCTTACCTAGAAAATATTACCAATATTTTAAAATCAAATCTGCTAAAAGACTGATACATTTGGCAACTTACAGACACAAGCACACTAGATAAATCATAATCTCATCATAAAGAGAGCTCTTCTTTCTTATTCTCCAAAAGGAAGTCTATTTTGGGTGGAGTTTGTGCATGACACAGGCAAGCTTACTCAACTACTAGGAGGCCTGAGGAGGAAGAGCGTTCAGAGCAACACAACACTTTCACAAGAATAAAGCCAACCAGTAATCACTAGACTCCTTATTTTTGCCTTTAAATATCAACTAAATGTGTAAGAGTGACCTAATCAGAACTGTTCCTCCAATGAAATCTTCCTTCTGTACCTTAACCTCATGAATCCAGAGAATAGCGGCAAAAGAAACTCCTGGAAGTTGTATTCTAGCCTATTTGGATGTGCTACTTGGAATCTCAGGGGGGTAATCCCAGCAGCACTGAATCTCAGACTCAAAGTTCTTCTTATTCCTGATCAGCTTTTCACCACCAGCTAGACCCCAATTCTGGCTAATCTGAGAGAAAAAGTCAGCATCCCAGTTAGCCCTTTAGGACACACTTTTAAAACACTTTCAAAACACTTTCTAAGAGTCACCTGGCCCCCTTGGTTGAGAACCTTTATAAAAGAACAGCATTTCATGCAGATACTGGTTTTAAGGTCAGCACACAAGACAAAACCAGTCAAAACACCCTTCCAAGTCCTTCATAGTGGCTGTACGACCGTGTATATGTGGTTCTATTTCACCTAAGTCCAACACAGCCCATTTTTCCTTCTGCAATGACACACATTACTGTTGGCTGTGTGGTGGCTAAAGGGAATGACGTGCATTTGGGGGTCATACAAGATAAGAAATATGTATTTTTATCTTGATGATATATGGTTAAATATGTGTAAGTGAAATGTACATATGATGTCAACCCATCGTATATTCCCTTGTAACTTGAAATCAACACTTTAAAAAACACGTATCTCCACTAAAACACTAATATCAAACACAGAGGCTGTTAAGAAGGCAGCAAGGGGGACAGAGTTCAGCAGCAGGAATTCTGAAGGCCTCGACTTCAGTCCCAACTTTTAACACTAATTAGTTGGATCCTCTGGGCAGATTATCCAACTCTTCTGGGACTCATTCCTCATCTGTAAAATAGGGTGGTTGGGCTAGATCTGCAAAGTTCCCTACTCGATTCAGAACTCCAACGCTTACCTTGTAATGGAAAGATTCCTGGCACTGCTTGCACTGATATATCCTGGCCTTACAGTGGTTGATCATGTGGCTCTCCAGACCCTTGCTGCTGTCGGCGACATGCTCGCAGATGGGACACTGGTAGGGCTGCCTCTGCCGGTGGACTCGCAGGTGCTGCTTCATGTGGCCTTTGTTGCCACTCGCGTAGTGACATAGGCGGCAGCGGTAGGGCCGCTCCGCGTTGGGGATGTACTCCACCACGCTGTTTGCTGACAAGCTCGCCTCACTGCTGGGCTGGCACTGGGCATTGTCCTGCAACTCTTTTAAAATGTCATCATCTGAAGCATTCTGGTCTGTCCTTTCTCTCAACTTCTCAATCACGGTGAGTAAGGACATGCTGATGCCTGTCTTTACTTGCCCGTCTGACAATTCTTGCCTTCCCTCTGGGAGTGCTACCAAGGTGGAGTTACTTTGGTTAAAGCTAGGCAATCCATCCGTAGAGTTTCTAAGTGGTGACATCATTTTTGAATATGCTGCCAAGGTACTATTGTCTACTTGCCTTTGTCCAGTACCTGGATCTAAGAGGTTTATGTCTCCATAAGGCCCGAGGTTGGCCCTTGTCAGCTCTGCGGCCCGTATAGGCATGGTGACGAGGGCTTCTGCAGCTAACGAGTGGAGTCTGAGGGACTCGGAGTTTGTCCTCCTTCGGCCTGGTGGGGCGTTCTCATCAGCAGCCAGGCCTTTACTTATTAACTCATCTTTCTTCTCTGTGCTGCTCCAGCCTATGATCAACCCCCCAATATCAACAGTGCATTTATCAGCACGGTAAACATCATCCGTTCCTTCACACCCAATCTGGGCTTCTGTCTGGCTCAGGTTTTTCCCCTCTTCAATTTCAGCATTCATGAGGAAATGTTTCTGTGAAAGAGTTTCTTCAGCGCTTGGCAGTCGCTCCACTATCACATTAACGTGACCTTTTCTGTTCGGGCTACTGCTGATAATTTTCTGTGCTGATGAGAGCAGGCTATCAGCCATCAGGTTCTCCTCTGTGTCAGAAATCACTGCTAGCATTTCTTCCTCACTAGGGTCAAGGGTAACTGACTGACCTAGGGGCACACCCCTTTCTGCGCTCTGCTCTAAAGGGGATGACGAGGCTAACTGTTGTGAACTGCAGATCTGCACTTGGACCGACGGCCCGTTGTGGATACTGAGTTCACTGTCTCCTATGGCAATGACTACAGCATCTACCCCGCCGGGGGCAGCAGCCACTGAAGAATCCAGCAAGCCCAGGGGCTCATTTTCATTCTCAAAGATCGGATAGGAGCAGTCAACCTCCCCTGCATGTTTCCAGGCGTGCGTCTTCAACATCCTCTGCTGGCCACAGGTGTAACTACAGAACAAGCAGCGGTACATGCCATACTGCTCATACGCATACCACTTCCTCCGGCCCACTCCTGCCTCAGCTGAAGTCGGGATGGCATGTGTTTGTGGACTGTTCACGCTTCCAGGGACACCAGGAAGCGGCTCACTGCTTCCTTCCGTTGCTCTCTGCTGTGAGGAGTTGGAAGGGCTTGTGCCCTCCTGGGCTTTGGCTTGAGCATGACCACCATCATTTTCGTGGTCATTTACCACATGAGCTTCAAGTTCCTCTTGGCTTTTAGAGGTTATATGGCACTCTGAGCACATCAGGATCACTTCATTCTGTTGACCATGCTGCTTAATATGATCTTTTAACACAGGAAAAGAGGATGATAAGAACTTACAAAGGCTGCACTGGTAAGACATAGCCTTCCCATCGCTCTGGGCAAGAGAGTCGGGGCTAAGATTCGTTTGTGACATCTCCGCTCTTCTAATATCAGCAGCAGGTGACTGGGCTACTTTAGCTGGAATCTCACAAAGTTCTTGGGTTTCAAGAGATTGTGTTATAGCACTTGAACGTCCACGTTTTTTCCCAATTAAAAGACATTTTTGTGACTTTTCATGTTCCACTATCTTGCTTAACTTCTGGATAACATGGATTAATGGGTCTGTTTTAGCTTTCCTTTGCTCGTCAATTTCCAGTGAAGGACTGATGATACTTTCAGCAGTCAGTACAGCTTCCTGTTCTCCAATGTCTGGCACCAACATGGCAACACTGCTGCTTTCTTCCATATCTAAAAAGGGTAACATCCAACAGAAGTATACCAGGTTACAGGATAATTACAGGAAAATAATTCAGGAAATGACATTAATTTTAACCTAATGTAAGTATTCTCTAAGATGGGAGCTCTGTATCAACGTACCTAGCTATTCCCAATATAAACTTAAGTTGTTTACAATTTCTCTCCTGAATACAATCTTCTATAAACAAAGACTGATGATGGAGATCTTTCCATCCTTCCCTTATTTCTTTGGAAATGACTTTAACCGTATTTATCTCGGTTTTTCTTTACTTTCTTTGCCTTTGACATCCAGATGAACCCCGCCAATACTCCCTTTTGCACATGCCAAAGAAAAAAAGACTCTATTTCCCAATTAAAGCAATACAGCCATGCTCGAGGCACATAGAACCACCTCAGGTTACTGAGAAACAACATTTTATAAAGTCAATGACTGATACAATACCTGAGAAATTATTTTTTACATGAAATAGAACTATAGTTTTGTTACTAAAATCACAAACTTTTTTCTCCCCAAATTATGAAACCATATTGTAAAGAGCACAGTGAATTTTGAGAAGTACTAGCAAACGAAACTAAATAAAAGCAATGATCCAGTTCCTGCTTTTACTTCCTTTGATTTATCTTCCTCAGGATAAACCACAAACTATGCTGTGGTTTTTTCTGGAGGTCATATTAGTGGTCAACTATTACTCATAACCCACATATGTGTCCTTTTTTTTTTTTTTTTTTTTTAAAGAAAGGGAAAAGGGCATCAGAGGAGGAAAAAGGTGATGTCCCAGCTGGGTTTCGGGTCCAGATATGAATAGAGAGAGTCCTCAGAACAGATTATTTCTAACTTCTAGTATCATGTCCAAGGAAGTCACTAAACACAAAATACTCGCAGATCTTTCTGCCTGAGTCTTGAATATTCTTTATATTTCCTGGCAGTGCTTTCATTTCAGACATTTCCTTTGGCTTAAAGTGAGATTAATTTGTTGACTTGGATCACATTTTTAAGTTTAGGCTTTTTTCCAGCAACAAGTTTTGTTTTTCCACATTTTAGGTGCATTCTGGAATCTTACTCACAACATTCAATAAATGCCAGCAAAATTTTTGGTGGCGCTAGCTACAGACCAAAGACCACACTATTCTTAATCTTCAGTCACAGGCTCTGAATTCTTATTTTAGGTGGTGAATCATGGCTTCTCTTCCCTGCATGGCTGAATCAACATGTAAGGGCCACTGGGCCCCTGCCAGGACTATACCTAAACTACCCCCTCCCCTGTGCTCTGACCAGCTTCAGTGCCAGGACGCCCACGACGACTCTGGGCAGCAGTTACAGTGCTTCCTCTCTTATTTTCTACTCTCCTGGCACACTAGCTTTCTAGATTTAGGTCCACATCAGGCAAAACGACAAACATTTTACTCTTGGCTTCTTTTTCTTTAGTACTACTTCTTTCCTCCCTCCTAGTACTCTGCCCTACGGGATTGGCTTTTTCTTTTTTGTCTTTTCCGCCAATGGCCCTGAAGGTGGGAACTGCATTCAACAGCCGTGACAACAGTGACAGCTGTTCCTGCTCCCAAAGGTCAGCAGTCCTCTAGCCACTCTCCCCACATCCCCAACAACCTCTCAAAAGACAAGTCCTGTTTCGTCTTTCTTAGGTAGCAAAAACAAGTCTTCCTAGATCACTACACTCAGCCTTAAGCTGTAAAGAGGAGACAACAGGGGAATAATTTGTTTCTTCAGAAAAATGCTTTTGTGATTTCCTAAGTCAACTTTATTGCCTTAGAATTCCACATTTTTAGGCCAAGGGGAGCTGTGGCTCTTCATGTGACTACTGATTTCCCTTCAGGGTGATTAACTTAAGGTTTTATTTCCTTCAGTTCGATTGTTAAATGCAAGTTAGTTGAATAATAAGTTTAGTAATAGGAATCCCTGAACACTCGATTCTCTGGACAGGCGCTGGCTCTCTACTGCCAATCTACGGTCCTCCTCCCATGAAACACAGCATCTGTGTGGGCTGGCTATAATCTCCAGGTTAACAGGTGACTGTTTGTTCAACAGACTTTGCACACCCACAAGGTTATAAGGGTGACTCATGTTATCTCTTTTCTGAACAGTGCAAATTGCTCCCTGGGGATATTTCAGTGTGGGCCTTAAAAAGAAAAGTGCACTGGAGAGGACAACAAGGAGTTCTCTCATCTTGAGAAAAAGGCTAACACAAAAGAATCTGACAAAACATTCAGATTTTTAAAGCTGTATCTGCTCAGGCATTAAGAGCTAATGGAAATTTGCAGCAGATGCTCCAATTTTCCCTGAACATTTATGTAAGTATCTCGTTTTAGAGGCTGCATACATTTGGGGATAAGTACAGTAATGGCAGCTATAAAACAGATATGACAACATAAAATACATCAAGAAACACCTGAAAAACCAGTTTGAGCCCACGTGCAAAATCAACATACAAGTTAAACCTCATAAAAACAAAAGTATCTGTTAAAAAAAGGTTAGATAAATAGCTCGTAATAAAGTATACGCAGAGGGGAAGTTACCTTAAGGACAACTCTTCAAATTTTCACAAAAATGTTACTTAGCTCACAAATGCACATACACATATATGCTGTACACACACGTGTCTATTTATATGCATACACAGTAGAACCTCTGTAGGTTGACCACCCATGGGACTGTAAAGAACAGGCCAATAGATGAAGGTCAACATAGGGAACTAGCCCTGAGTAAGTGTGGTAAATGGCCAGGCTGTGAAAATAAGGTCAACTTCAGGAGGTGGTCAGAGTAGGGAGGAAGTCAACCATGGAGGTTCTACTGCATATGAGACTGCATGTCAAGTGAAGTAAAATTTATTTGAATAAAAGAGATGAAAATAAGGAATACAAACACCATCCTACTGACTCAATAATGACTTCAACAAGGATTATGCTAATACCATCCTTGATTCCCAGAGATCAGTATCAACGTGGCTTTAAAAGATTACCATGGTGGCAGTGGGGGGAGAAGTGGAGAGGGTAGGGATAAAGAATGACAAATTATTAACTGAAGTTAAGTGATGAGTACATAGGAGTTGATTATACTATTCTAATTATGTAAATGTTAAAAAATTTTCTCACTAAAAAGTCAGAAAAAAATTATGTGCAGGGTACAAAGCAAAATATCAAGAAGAATGGAAACATTTAAAATTCACAGTACTCAGTTTAAAACCCGGCTGAGCAGGTGAGACCAACACATTTAGAAGTTAACAACAGGCAAGAGTACACAGGTAAAATGGAAGGTGACGGTCCACAGCAAGACCCTGCAAGAGGCCCAAGAGTTCCTGGGGCTGGGAAGGTAAGTAAAGGCTTCCTGAGGAGGTAAGATGGACACCAGATCCCAGAGGACAGGCAGCATGCCACATGTCACCCTTTTGCCCTCTAGGCTCATGATCTGTCCGAGAGAGATCACATCACTAGACTCCGCTGTCCTCTGGTTTCTGGTTGAGGTTAGCCGAGGGGGAGCAACGAGAGATCAGAGGGGAGGGAAGAGTGAGAACAGAATATCTGATGTCCTGATTCACCACCTCTTGGACCGGCTGTGCTCCTCAAAAGAAGGCCACTTTTCTCCAGGTGGGCTGCTCTCTCTACCACACTCTTCTGATGCTGCCAGCTCCAGATAACTGTATCATCCCTACAGTTTGCCCATGTAAGTCCCATGCCTTTATTATCAGTATCTCTGTAAACATGCCCTCCTTAGGTTATCCTAATTTGAGTGTGGCATTTGCTTCCTTAGCATACTGTCAATGCAAATTGACACAAGCATAAGAATGACAAGGAAGGCAGCCATAACATGACTGTATTTTTCGAAGTGAGAATAAGCTTGCAATCTAGGGGTTAGTGAAAAGATCAATATGGCTGAACAAGGACATTCACAAGGAGGAGAGGAGACAGGAGGCATTAACATCACAGGAAATTTCTTGTTTGGAATCTTTAGACATAACACAACAAATATATCAAATACAAACAAACAAACAAAAGCTGTATCCCAAACCAGAAAAGTTCTATAACCTTTTCCACTGAGTCTCCCAAACTGTTCCTTGACAACAGTCTCCACAGGCAAGAGCTTATAATTAATGTCTTTTCCAAAGAAAGTTAAAAGCCAAATTATTTTAGTTTTTACAATTTCCTTATAATTCACTATTTGGTTTATTTCTGTATCTAACTAGTTCTTTTTAGCTACAGGAGCATGGTCATCATAAGTAAAATCAAATTGAGCAATTCACGTGGACCTGGAGAAAAGGCTGTGAAGGCAGTGATAGAAATAAAGGAACCTTCTTTTTCAGAATAAGAATTTGTTCTTTTCCAACCAGAAAACTGAACAACAGAAGTAATGGTAAGTTAATTGCCCATTCTTCCTAATTTTAACTCTAAAATAAACACATGGGCTCAGCTCACACCTGGAATCTCAGCACTCTGGGAAGCCCAGGTAGGAGGACTGCTTGAGGCCAGGAGTTCAAGAACAGAAATCCCGTCCATACAAAAAATTAGGAGAAAAAAAATTAGCGTGGCATGGTGGTTTAGGCTCATAGTCCTAGCTACTTGGGAGGCCAATGCAGGAAGATATCTTGTGCCCAGGAGTTCAAGGTTGCAGTGAACTCTGATGGTGCCACTATACTCTCCCCTGGGCAAGGCCCTGTCTCTAAAGAGGTGAAGAAATGAATGAGTAAATAAACAATAAACACAAAGAAACCCCCAAAAGCACCCATTTATTTTGTTCCAATGAAAAGAAAGTAGGGGAAGACATATACTCACGGATCCTCCCCTAAGCGCCTTCGGTCAGTTGTGTGACCTCAGGCCAGTCACTGTGTCTGTGGGTGGAGCTGGATGAACTCTCAGGTCTCTGCATTACAAACTGTCTATAAAAAGTTATGTGGAAACTGCTTACACATTGATTATAGATTTATCTTGTTAATGCCAGTTATAATTTGACTTAAAATCTCCCTAGCTCAATGTAATTATTAATTGCCACTAAGAAAAACTAAGTATAAATGACAACTATATGAATATCATAGCTTAGAGTTTCTTAACTGGCACCTGGCCTAAGAGAATATTCTAATTTGGCAGCTGCAATTAAGACATAAGGTCTAACTAACATAAACCAGTATTCAGATGTACTATCACTGAGCATATCCAGTGTGCCAAACTATGCTGGAGACTACACAAATGTACCAGGGAGCCCTAGTCCTGCAGGTGCAAGTCCAGGGTGTAATGCCTGTGTAGGTGTTCTTTAATACTCACCTAATTCCTGGTAACACTAGCTTTCTCTCTTTCTCTCCTTTTTTGCAGATTAGGAACCCGAGACTACTATAGTAACTACTTTAAGACCTGAAATCCAGGTCTGTCTGATACTAAAACTATGATTTCTTGAATACACCACATTTTCTCTTAATTCTCAGTGACAATAAAAATGTACAAAATATTGATAACGAAAAGAGTAACAGGCCCTTACATCTAGGCTGTATCAAACAGGTTAGTGTATTTGATCTTATTTATAACTCTTTGGGACAGGTGGACATGACACAATTTCATAAAAAACACTCAGCGCAGTTTAAGTCACTTACCCAAGGTTACATGGCTGTTAAGTGGCAGAGCCAGTGTCTTTCAAATCAATTCCTGAAATTAATAGTCCCTTGGATCAATCTTCACAATCCAGCTGTGGCCAAGAATGAAAGTATATAGCATCAAACATTTCTCTTTCTTGGTTAAACAGAGTAATGATGTTTTTGGCAGTGGAAAATTTCCCAATATTTCACGTCAAAAAGAAATTCAGAGTAATGTTCATGCAACCCTATTACATGATGCAAATTTATAAAGTTTACCTAACAAGCAGACTTGAGTAATTCTGCAGAAGTTAGAAACAAAAAATAAGCTCTGGAAACTTCTCCCAATAATTGCAAATGTTATGTTTTACCTCATAATTTAATTCACTGCAAACACTATTGGGGTTCTGACAGGACTTTCTAAGGAGTATAGAATGGTAAATTGCAATGATGCTATTTTAACCTTAACCAAAAATACAATCTAGAGTGATTCTGCAATTTTTACACAGTGGGCAAAAATAGCAGCATAAAAAGATATGAGTGACCTATATATTTTCTAAAGCAGATTCCTACCCCGGCCCTCTCTTTCTTTGCTACTGTTTCTCATACTAAAATAAATCTAAAAGGTCAAAGAATGTTCCTTCGGTTCCCCTAGAATGCAACTATCTTATCGATTACGGTTAAATAAAATAGTTCACTGCCAGGGCAGAAAGCATTATCTTTGGGCCTCCTGTGAAGTTAATTTTCAACGAGTTAGGGAAGTAAAGGAATCTTTTAATCAATAGCGAAACCCTTACAGTGAGTCAGAACAGAGTACTCAAGAAAGTACAAACTTGAGGAGGTGATAATTGTCCTAGAAGAGAGATGCAGACTGATAGCAAATTACAGCCCACTGCAGAAACCAAAAAAAGACCGCCCTTAGCTTGGGAAGGTGGGCTCTGCCTTGTTAATAACCATCCCGGCCTTGCACACTAAATCACCTACTCTGGTTGCCTCCAAGATCTTAAAATGCGGGAGCTTTATCCCAAGGGTCTCAGCGATCTCTGGATCCAAGAGGGCTGCAGTAAATGCAGAAAGCCAGGATAGCTTTCTTCTTCTTCTTTTTTTTTTTTTGGTACTAGCTTTTTCTACACTACGCAATGGCTAAAAAGGACTGGGACGATGAGGGGCGGGGAGTTGACAAAAGTAATAAAGCAATGCGGTGCGAGGCAGCCCCGCCGGCCGGAGCGGTTCCACGGCAGCGGGAGGGACGGGAGCGATGCCCTGGGCTGACCCGGCCGGTGACAGCGGGCGGGAGCGGCGGGTTCCCTCCCACCCGGCCGCAGGGCGAGCCCGAGGTATCCGCAGGCCCTGCTGTGGGCTGCGCAGAGGACAGAACGGGGACTCGGAATGTGGGGTATGTGGCGAACACTGGGCAGGTTTCGACAGGCTGAAGAGGAAGCGGGCGCCGGCGGAGGCCTGAGGGAAGGATGCACATGGCCGGCGACAACGCCACAGCCGCGGGCGGAGGGGCGGCCCCGGGGCGCGGTACCTGCGGTCGGGCGGCGGCGGCGGCGGCGGCTGCTGCTCCGCGAGCCTCCTTTGGCCGGCCGGGCCCCAGCCGTGCCCTAGCCCTCGTCCTCGCCCGCTATCTCCTGGCACTTTTCCCCCTTTTCCCCCGCCTTCCCCCTCCTCACCCGGAGCTCCAAAATGGCGGCGCTGGGGACGGATCACGTGAGCCGCGGGCAGGTCAGGTGACCCGAATGGCGCGCAGCGGGGGCGGGGCGATGTCCAGGCCCCGCCCACGAGCATCCCTGGGCCCAGAGGCCCGGCGGGCGCGAGGCCGGCTCCCCGGGCAGGGTTTGGGCCGGAGTGGTCCGGCTGTGGCGGGCCCTGCACCGCCCTGTCAATGGCCGTCTAGGTCAAGAAGTCAGGTTGTATCTACTGCGGAGGCTTCTTCCCATGTCTCTTGCATCTGCTGTGGGCCACCCCCACCACCCTGTGCACCTCCGTTGGCTTTCAGCAGAGGCCATTGAGATCTTTCAGCCACGTTTTGGAGTTTATTTCCTTTTGGTGGGAGCTATACATACTTTTTGAGGTGTTCTTGGCTGATATGTAGAGGTCATATCTAGGTTCGTGGCTTTGCTTTAGTTGTGCCAATTGAGGGAAATCTATTTGCTTGAGAGATTTTTAGGGCATGTAGGTTCGGACTTGGTCGCTCGACCTACTAACACAACCTCAGTCCTCGGAGGGCACGATGATGTTCTCATTTGGATCTGTTTCATGAAATAATACAACAGAGTGCAAGCTGGATCCCCTCCTAACACAGAGAGATTCAAAGGGAGTGACGCATTCTACCCAACTTCACGAAGAATACTGGAAGAGTTGTACTATATTTAGAACTACATAGAGTGGTGCTTGGATCTGGACTCAGTTGAAAGTGGGCATAGACAGGAGGAAAGGAATAAAACTGGAGGTTCTGGTCATAGTAAGGACCGGACTTGTTTTTTGAGATAACTCTCGGAGACTTACAGATCTATTTAGAGCACTTCACAGCAGGCTGTGTTGTCAGTGTCCTGGGAGGAAGAGGCAACGATATTTAGAGTCACAGTTCAGGCAGGCTGGTAAGTCCCTTTATTATATTTTGGGGGTACCAACTGATGTGAATTTGAGGGTTGGGAAACCCCTAAAGTTAGTTCTGCTATTCCACAGGATCCATTTCAGTTGGATAAAATAAGACATAAAAATAAAATGTTGAGTAATTTTTCTTTCAAAGGTAAGGGATTCTTCAGTAGATAAGTATGGAAAAGCAGAAGATTAAGAAATGAAAGAAAACCAGAAATACAAAAAGGTGAAAGTAAGAATAAACAGCTAGCATAAAAATGTTTTTTTTCCTTTCCTTTCCTTGGGCTACTGGCACAAACAATCCTAGTTTAGAATTGTCTGAAGAGAGGCCTTTCTTTAGTAATGTCTTAGCTGAATATCCATGAATCTGAAAGTAGACAGAACAGTATTCAGAATTATTTGATGAGTGGAGAGTGCAAGAACAAAATAGAAAATGTAATCTAGGGAAAACAAGGGACTTCTAAAACAAGTGAAGGAAAGTGTACTTTGTCTTAATTCCCCGTGGTAGTCATCCCTGGTATTCACCAGTTTTCCCCATTTCCCCCCTTTCAACACGAGATTAGCTAGAACTTCCCAGTTCCTCTGTGGCTTGGGGGTGTGACCTGAGACTGAGGTTGGCTAATAAGTGGTGCATAGAAGTGAGGGCATCCTCTCAATATTGGAGCTTTGAATTGCCAGTGAAGTTCCTCCAGAGAACTCTTTTTCCTTCTGTCTTGATAACTGGCAAGTGGTGGCCACGCTGTCAGCCAACATCCTAGGGGAACTGTGATGAGCCCCAGCTAACCCAGGGTTGGTGTGTAGCGTGGGCAGGCTGCCGAGGATTTTGAAGCTGTTTGTTATGGCAGCATGACATAGTCATTGCCGATGCTCTTCCCTATACAGAAGTAATGGGAAGAGGCAGAGCCAATCAGAAGTCATTACAGGCAGTGTTAATCAAAGAATTAGGACCTTTGTTTCTGAAGACCGACAAGGTATAAAACCTAGACAACTTTAAAATGCCTGTGACACAAAACCTCAGAGTTTCTCTTTCCTATAGTGGAACTCTCCAGAAAATTACAGAAAACATTGTGGAGTGAGAGGGATGCAAAGTCACTGAGCTGTAGTCCCACTGAACCTGTGGACATTCCACCTGAACTCTCCTTTGCACCTTCCACCTGCCACAGAATGTTATTTATCATGATTTAATTAACCAATCATAGTAAGATTTAGTGTTACAGATAGGAAACTTGCTTGTTCAGTTATCTAGGGCTTATTCAGTAGAATCGATTCTGTTCCCAGATGAGAGATGACCCAGTACCTGAATCCCTATCTCCACATACCCCATTATTCTACATTGGGGTCATTAATTAGTTGATGAGGTTAAAGGTTTCACTTTTTCTACAAGTATCATGGATTTGTATCTATAAAATGGCCAAGCAGTCTGATAATACACAGTTGCTTTACACCCAAAATCAGAGCACTGCTTGGATTTGGGGGACACTAAGGACAGGGCGGTGAGTAAGTTGCCAAGGTGATGACTGGTTGTAAACCAAATAGGACACCAAACCACTTGAAACTTGAGGAAGACCAACCTGTTTCCAGCCACGATCCTTATGAAGGACACCTTGTCTTTGGTGTAATAAGATTGGATTAGATTTCTTTTGAAGGGATTAATCATGTAAGTCTTTGGCACCGCACAGAAAATTGGACGGGACGTGTGACCTGTATTTCTTTTAGCTGTAATTTTTGTCGTGACCTTTAGAAAATATACCGCCTCACAAAAGGAAAGATTGTGGAAGGGCGAGAGGAGGCAGGAGGGCTAAAAGGAAAAAGGATGTGATGATATGAGCTGAGAAAATAAACTTGAAAATTATTCCTGACTTTGCTGTTTAACTCCCGTGGGACTATGAGCAGGTGGGCTCCATTTTCCTGATGTTTTAACCTAGTTTGTAGAGCAAGTTCAATTTATCCTTTTTGTTTGTTTTTTGAGCTTCAGATGTCTGGTACACAGAAGCACAGAGTTTAATTGTAGGAGTCCTCTGGTTTCAAAATGGGACTTTGTCATTAAGAATAATGGCAAGGCTTGATTTTATTAATGAATGAAGATTGCTTGATGTAAGTCAGAAGGAATGCAAGATTAAAAGACATGATCTATTATTATATGTACAGCTGTCAGTAATAAATTAGCATTAGCTCTAGGTTTCTTTCATTTTGCATTCTCAATACACACCTAGAAATACTTCATAATTATAGTTCAGGTCTCAGCAATCATAATAAATTCTCCATCTGTCATTCATTCTCTGCTAAAAGCCACGGACCTACATTATTTCAGGAGCACACCGACATCTCAAATCTCGGGCACTGGGAGGCTGCATATTAATTTATTTCTTACTGAGGGGGCCCAACTAAACCGGAAGGACGGATGTACAAAAAGCATGGCTAGGAAGGAGAGAAACAGCAGAGGATGTGATTGGGACCGGTGGGCTTTGCTTGGCTAACCCAGGTTGTGCTGGTTGAACTTACAGCTCATCTCTCCTGGTTCTGAGATGCTGATTGGTTTAGAAAAGGCCCACTATGGAGCTCACCCAGTTATGGCCAGTGTAGCCACCGTGGGGTCAAGGTTGCGATGGAATTCTGTCTGGAGTTCTAGCCCTGAGACGCTCTTATACTCAGGACCTTGTTGTACGGACGCGAATCCGTGGTGGTGACATCTAGTGGCCTCCCTGGAATGTGCAGTCACGCCACTGAGGGCTCCGGTGGGGAACGGGGCATTCACCTTACCCAGCTAACTCAGGCCTGACCCTGTGGCCCCAGAATCAGTTTTAAGAGTTTGGTCCTGGCAGAGATCCCCTGAATTCGTGTCGATCTGTGGTTGGGATCCAGGAGATGCACCAGCAGGCTGGGGGGAGTGGAGGTGGAAGGGGGGCTGCTTTGGGGGCCGACAGGAGGCTCTTTTCAGTCGAGTCTGCATATGCCACAGACTGGTGCTGCAGCAGAGCGTGGCTCAGCGGAGCCCGCGGTGGAGCAGGGCGCTCGCTCCGCCAGACTGTCTCTCTGCTTCAGCACAGACTGGTTATTGGAACGCTCAAGCAATTTTCAGTCGTCTTTGTCAATAAAGTCAGTCTCTTCTCTGCAAGGGGAATGAAAATGAGATTTTTCGAGGCCTCCAAAAGGGCTCTTTCCTTTGGCCACTTTATCTGCCCAGAAACCAGGTAATAGCTCAGCCAAGTTGGGTGGTAGCTATTTGCCATGCCCAAGACCCTGTTGACAGGTAATACCACCGGCTTCGGAACAAGACAATGGGATCGTAATGGGATACTGTGAAGTTCTTCCCACAGAAGCAGTTTTCCCTAAAGCAGTGGGCTTTATTGATGAGTGAGGCAGAGGAGGAAAATGAAGAGGAGGAGGAGGAAGAGATGAAGAAAGACACTAAAAGGAAAAGTAACTGC